AGAAGATTACTCCTTTACGAGGAGATGATTGCAAGATTGTGGCTTTCGGTTCTTGTGGATGTGTGGATTGGGTTTTGGAAGGTGAGAGCTCCAAGCTTGGCTCTATTTTCGGTGGAATCTCGGGTAAAAGGGAAGGGTTTTCCCTGACTTCTCGTTTATCTTCCCAGGTTGAATCTTCTAGGGGTAGACCCTCCCACTGGATCAAGAATTGTGGTATTTGGACATCGTTGTGCCAAATGGTCCGAGATGCCACAACAGCCTTGGGTCTATGAATGGGTGAAAATTCTGTCAGTGAATGAGGAAGTTGATGAATTTGAGGTGTTTGGGTGGAATGAAATGGTCGCAGTAAAGCCACATGAAACACTGGGTGTATGCGTGAGGACGCAGGGAGGTCCAATCGGTATGCTACTGGACCTATCCGCTCCATGACTTTAAAGGGCCCGTAGTATCTCAGGCTAAGCTTATGGGATGAACTTCGTTGCACCGACAGCTGTCGATATGGTTGAAGACGTAACAGGACTTGATCTCCAAGCTCAAAGGTAATATATTTCCTTTTTTTGTCTGCGACTGATTTCATATGTTGCTGAGCCCTAATCAGATGAATTTTTACTCTTGCGATGATGTCTGCTCGCGTTGTCATTTCTAAATCTACCGCCTCATTTGATGAAGACCCCAATGTGTATGCTAGCATATTTGGTGGAGGTTTACCGAATATGATGTGGTAAGGGGACATGCTCGTAGAGCTATAAATGGTGTTGTTGTAATGGTATTCGGCTTATGCTAAGTGCTTGACCCAAGACGAGGGAAAGTCATGTGTAAAGGCACGAAGGTAGAGTTGTAAGCTTCTGTTCAACCTCTCTGTGACTCCGTTTGTTTGGGGGTGATATGCGGAACTGAACCTGAGACTGGTTCCTTGTAGTTGAAAGATAGTTCGCCAAAAGTTACTTAGAAAATTGGGGTCACGGTCAGATATAATGGAGTGGGGGATTCCATGTTTCCAATCGTGTTCCAGAAAACTTGTGCTACTTTGTATGCTGTGTACTAAGGCGGTAAAGGAACAAAGTGGGCACCTTTGGAGAAGCGGTCAATCACTACCAGTATGGCAGAGAATCCAGATGAACTAGGCAGGTGGGTAATAAAATCCATTGCCAAGTTTGTCCAAATTTGGTCTGGTGGAGAAATGGATTGAAGCAATCGCAATGGGTAATGATTGGGTGGCCTAATCTTTTGACAGATTTCACAATTTTGCACAAAATTCTTAACATTTTTTCTGATTGATTTCCAGGTAAAATTCTGGCTGATTCGTGTTAGTGTACCTATGACTCCTGAGTGTCCACCTTGTACCGAGGAGTGCGATCCTGCAGTAGATGAGGAATCAACTATGACTCAGCTGGTAAGAAGAGTCGTCGATGATGATACAATAAGTTGTCCTTAAAACGCCACTGAGGTAGTGCTGCGAGGTTGTTATTGAGGGTCTGGAAAATAGAGGAAGCATATGGATCTCTCTTCAGTTCATCCCGTAATATCTCTCTGTAATCACTGATAGGTACTGTGAAAGCTACCAATAGGGGACAATTTGCATTTGATTGATTATTGGGGTGGCGGGATAAGGCATCAGCCACCTTGTTGGTCCTGCCTGACTTGTGAATTATAGTATAGTTGAATCCCAACAACTTTGAGAGGAATTGTTGTTGTTCAGGTGTCTGAATCACCTGATTCATCATGTTATGGAGGCTCTGGTGGTCGGTGCAAATGGTAAAGGGAACCCCCAGAAGATATTGACGCCATTTACCCCTCATGGTTGGGGATAATTTGCGGCTGTAAAATGCGATGGGGTGGTGGCCCTTCTGCAATAACACAACACTTATGCCCACACCCGAGGCATCAGTTTCAATGGTAAAAGGTTCCTTGAAGTTAGGAAGGACCAGAGTTGGAGTTGAAGTGAGCTGTGTCTTTAGTTTCTGAAAGGCTGTCGCTGTTTCCTCAGACCAATGATTCCCTCTTTTGTGAGTAAATCCGTCAGAGGGCTAGCTATTTGGGAAACTCAATCTTAATTTGACGGAATCTGTGTGTGTCTGATCCTGAATTATTATTGTGATTGTGTGGTCCAGCCCCTAAGATACTCGTGGAAGAGATGCTTCCCGAGTTTTGTTGTTGAAGAGCCAGAAGACACGTGAGAGTTTCTTGTACTTGTGATTGGGATTCTTGAAGGTTTAAGAATTGTTGTTCACGGATTGATTTAGAAATCTCCAAACGATGTTGCAATTCATCAGTGCGTTGATTGACTTCCATTTGCAGATTATCCATATGATTTGTAACATCTTTTAATCGAGTGTTTTTTGCCATGAATTTTGGGAGGGAATTGAGTGCAATGAAAGCACCAAATTGTTAGGAATATTCTTGAATTTTTAAGAATAGGGAGAAGAGGAAAGAGAAAGAGAGAGAAAATAGCAGAAGAGAGAAGAGATTGTCAAACTTTTCATGTCATTTTCCTTACTCATCAAAGCTTTAATACATTCTGACAAATTCTTAACTGACTCAAGGCTAACTATTACCTGAGTACCCCACATATTACATATCATAGACTACCAACACTTATAGGAAAAACGAAAATTAAATTGACTCATGTCTTTTCTCTAACACTTGTACTGATCCATATAATTGGGCCTCTTGCTAATTTTCTTGGGCCTTACGTTGAGATGGGTTGTAACACGGAAAGAGAATATAAATGATAACAAATGTCTTGGAATCATTTATATTCTCTCACTACGCTAGTAAAGCATTTCCATTATTTTTTAAGGATTGAGGAAGTTACTGTGATTTGTTTTAGGGGGAAAGAATTCTCATGTTATAGGAGAATTATTTCTCCTACTAGTGATACATCAAAATGTGTGCAACAACTTTTTTTTTTTTTTTTTTTTAATGAGAGGTGGGACCCATCGCATCTTGTGTCTATAGTAAGAGAAAGAATTCTCTTACAACATGAGAAAAGAAGTACCCTTTGTTTTATTGTATTTAATAATTGGTAGAGATGATTTGAAGGTATTGAAAATATTTGAAGAAAATGGAAGACTGTGTGCCTTTTTAAAGTGTGGCCAACACTATTATGGCTGCGTATGTTACACTTTTAAATTAAACAAAGTAGAACTAGCGTTACACTTATTAATTAAACAAAATAGAATTACATACGCAGATACGCTACTCCCAGCTTACCCGTTTCCTTTTACATCAAATCCAATAAAATTTAAGTTTTTACATACAAAAAAAATAAAAATAAATAAAATTTAAGTTTTAATATATGTCCTTCGTAAATAAATATGTTGAAAATAAGGGAAAACTTAAAAAATTTCCATATATTTTTGCTTTGAAACATTTATTTTTTATTTTTTTTAATTACTTACTCCCCTATGATTTTTATAATCAAATTCATCCTTAATACCGTTAGAAACTTAAGTAATTTGCCTATTTCTTGAAGAAAATAAAGTGAGAACAAAAAAGAAAAAAGAAAAAAAAATTAAATATAATAAAAACTTATAACACTTACATAAAAGATTAAAAGTAAAAAAAAAAATGAAAATAGAAAAAATAGATCAAATATAACTAAATCAAAAAGAAGAAAATAAATTTGTGATAGAAGTAAAAAAAATCTAAAAGTTAAAAAAATGAAAATAGTCTAAATCAAAAAGAAGAAACAAAAAAAAGTATAAGAAAAAATAAGATCAAATATGTCTAAATCAAAAAAAGAAGAAAATAAACTAAGCACAACACATTGAAGAAAAAAAAGAACTGATGGAAACTTACAAAACTAATTTCTTTTTCTTCTATTTATCATTTGTCTTATTTTTTTCTATTTTTTTTTTGGATACGTTTTTTCTTTTTCTTTTAACAGTGATAGAAAGGACTAAAAGTGAAAAAAAAAAAAAGGACCAAATATACGATGTAGGGGAATTTGATAACCTTCTTTTTCGGATTAGTAGTTTGAGGAATTTGCGGTTCAGATATATATTATGTATTTCATTCTTTTCATGCTTCTGGCAGTTCTATCAAATTCATCATTTCCAACCTCCTTGTCTCCTCTAAGTTATACACCTTCAAGCATGACTACATGACTTTGATGGTCTGTTCCTTATTGTTGTCTTCACTGAGGACACCAGATACCTCACACTGGACAAACTCACCAGTCACCACCTACCTATATGTAAATCATTTTATTTGCTTAAGCTTAAAGAACAATTCCCAACAATTTGTTTCCCATGTTAACCAGTGACAAGATGCTTTCACACTGGATTGTATTTGTAGGTGCCAAATTTAAATAAATACTAATGCAAATTTTTTACTAGATATTAATAATGATTTTTTATTTTTTTCTTTTATCAAACTGAAACTCATTATCTCTTATTAATAAAATATTATATATATATTTAATTTTTTCATCACATAAACTTATAATAAAAAATATAACTATGAATCCAGCTATCCTAAAAAGTTATCTGAACTCAATGAATTCATATACCTTCAATTTGATAAAGGATGAAACGGGATTACGAAAAAGTTCTAAATTTTTTATATAGTATGGACAAAATAAATATGTATAATAAGAATATTTTGACATAATACCCTAATTAAATTAATAATATCATAAAATATTTTACGCGAATTTTATAATTTTTAAAATCAGTATATCTGTATATGTATAATAACTTAGGGTTTAATTTTTAAAATCAGTGTGTAAGAGATAATGTTATCTCCTACATATCATAAAAGTGTACGAGACTCATTTTTTTTTCTCCATTCTCTTCACATTACCTCACATAAGCCCCGTACATTTTTATGTGTATGTAAAAAATAATTTTATCTCCTACAATTTAAGAAACATCAAAAAAAGTCAGAAAACGCTTGCTAATGGATTTAAGGAAAAAGAACTACACTCTTATTTAATAGTTATTGCTTTCGGTTACTAATAAACATTTGATCCTACAATGATTATCAGAGTCAAGGTAAAGATAACTAGCTTTTGCGATATTGGAAAACTTTGATTTAACACAAATGAAGCCTGAAAAACCACTCGCTAGGAACCACTGCTATATCTACTAGGCTCTCTCAAAGAACCTGTACTAACATCACAATTACTTACTGCTTTCCAATTATACAGATTAAATCCTCCTCCTATTATCAACTCGTGTTTTCTTTGATGCAGATCCAGCTGGTAGATGCTCGCTGCTAGACCGAATCTGGATGAGAAGAAATTCTGTCAAAGTTCAACACTATACGAAGACTCCAAAAACATATTATGCAGTAGTATACTATACATCACCTTATCAAGCTTATCCCGTACAAACCTCACAGTTTGATTCATGGAATGCGAAGCAAAATAATCCTGTTTATAGAACATGTTAGTATGAGGTAATAGATAAAAAGCAAGTATTCCTTTCGCTTTGCACATAACATCCAAGTAAGAGCAAGATTAATATATCTAATAACGGGAAAGTATAATATCAGATCCACAAATCCAGGTACCAACAGATTGCAACAAAAACTACTACTGTGAAAAAAGAATTTACATCAGAGATATGAAGATAGCTGAACATTTAAAACATACTACTGAACATAGGTTTCTTCCAATTGGTCCTCAGAGACTAGGTTAATAACGACAAGAAACTCGATTTACTTAAAATTGCCCTGGCAAATATTCCAGCAACATTAAAAACCAAGGAAAAAATTCGTTCATTTCCCCACCCAAAATGTTTCCTTCAATTCAAAAGTGAGAGTAAGTAGAACAGAGTAAATTTTTTAATATGTGCATGACAAAGAAGCAACAAACCTCATTAGAGGAAACCGTTCTTATTGGAAGATTACCACTGCGTGACCTTCCTTCGAATTCTACATCCCTGCAGTGAGAAAAGAGAATCACCTATTCACGTTGCCTTAAACAGGAAGCACGGGATTGCAGAGTGCAGACAGAAAATAAATTACCTTTCATTAGGATCTAAATGTTCTGATACGCAACTAGTCATTGAGGCAATCAGAGGTCCGGAGCTTGAGGCTGTAGTCTCTTTGGATCTTCTAGCTGATATCATGAGGAACACATGGATAAGTAGATAATGATAAAAATGCCTTTATAGCAATTCATATAATAAGCATTTGTGTATCCTTTATAATATAAAAAGGCAACCCTGTGCTATAAAACTCCTACTCTGGGCAGGGTTTATAACATGCAGCCTTACTTATATTTGCACGAGTCTGATTACATGAGTCCAACATGTGTCCTATATAATATGCCTAAGTTTGAAATGCAACCATTGCAGGCTTTAACTTACGGTTCAATCGCGCTAAAACCTCCCTTCTTCTTCCCTCTAATTTATCCTTTGTGTCGGAGAGGCTCTCGAAATGGGGAGCATATGAAACCTGCAGTCGATTCCCGAGGAAAACAAAATCATCCAATTTTCTTTTCGCAAACCTGAAATGATAGATGGAAATAAGATGCTCCCTCAACTCAATCATCTCAACATAACATACCCTACACTCAAATTTATAATATAACTATTTCATCTGGCAAGGGAAAAAAACAGAACGGAACCTGGCACTGCTGAAAAGGCGGAATTTGATCCAATAGACATCAGTGAATGGCTCACAATCCTCTGCATCCATTGGCTTACACCTGGAAACAGAAAAAGGATTCAAATAAAAAACATGAATGAAAGAAGCAGTTTTTGCAAAGTGAGGAAACAAAATTACTCTTCAACTTCTCCATGAGATGAAAACAGTTGCAGCAAATCATCCCCACAACCTAATGCTGGAACGTTCTTCACAGTCAAATATCTGCACCCTCCAAACCAAAGAATACAATAAGCTTCCAACTGTTCAGAGAATGAAAAGGAAAAAAAAAAAAAAAAAAAATATATATATATATATATATATATATATATATATATATATATATATAAGAAAGAAAGAATTTTATGGGTAAATGAAAAGAAGGGTATTTTAATAGAAAGTGACCTGGATTCATCGCAGACAGTGTAGACGCGAACCGCTGGGGGCTCATCTTTGTAACGAGGCATCTAAGGATGATTGGTTCAAAGGGAAAATAACAATCAGTTATTCAGTTTCATCATTAATTTGCAATTGCTTTTGACATGGTACATGATTCAAGATTTCAAGTAAGAAGAAGGACCTTCAGTTACATGCATTTTGGCTTATAAAATGCCATGTAAAGGTCACTTTAGAATTATTAAGGTTTAAAACTTTCAATATCAATATTTATTAGAGCTGATGCATGATAAGTAGGTGTAGAAATCAGTACTTACAATTACCCATATCAAAAGGCCCACACATATCGCAAAAGGAAAAAATTACACATGGATCATGGAATACAAAGAAGTCATAATCCAGAATCTTGCATTCCCTCCTTTTTCAGAGGAAAGATGCCATAATCATGTCTGCGTCAAATATAAGGCTAAAGGTGTATGGTAAGTAGGTGAAGAAATCAGTACTTACCATTACCCATAACATAAGGCCCACACATATCGCACAAGAACAAGAATTACATATGTAACAACAAGAAGTCATAATCCAGAATCTTGCATTCCCTCCTTTTTCGGAGGAAAGAGGCCATAATCATGTCTGTGGCAAATATAAGGCTAAAGGTGGACAGTATTTTAAGTACAATATTTAAAGTAGTACTTGTGTAAGAATACAGGCAAAGAAAATTATAGCAAGAAACATTATAAACAGTGAACCAGCAAAGACAAACATATTCTAATAAAAAAAGCGTTAAGTCCAACAAACAAGGAAGAGATACCCCATTCTAATTTCATTATTTCATGGCAAAATGAAGGAGAAAACTTACTATTTACAAACAACTGCAGCTGATTTGCTGCATTAATTTGATACTGAAATTAAGTCTCATCCAAGAAAACAGGAAACACAGAATTACCATTGTTGACCCCCAACATTGTCTCAGGATATGAGCTTGCGTAACTCAAATTATGTTGCTCTATTAAGAATGTTATGGAGCTACCAATAAATATCTACAGGAAAAAATTATTAATTAACATCAAATTTTAAATTATGAAAAGCTTGTTCAAAATGGTCCGCGATAATAGGCCAATTTTGAAGCTGTAAATTGTTTGGTAAAGATAAAAGATAAAACTGTATATCTGAACACACACACACATAGATAGGAAGGAGAAAATAAAAGGAAGGTCCTCCAAAACAAACAACAAAGCTGAGGGTAAAAAATCATAACCCAAGGATAAAATAGATAAGGAAGCCACCACAAATGCCCCAAAACTCTCTTTGGAAACTCACTCCGCACAACACACACAACAAAAGGGATAAGCTAATATTAAGATAAACAAAAAAGCACCACCACCTTTGTGTTCAACAAAGAAGACAATCCAAAAGCCTCAAAAGAACCTAATTAAGCCTTCTAATTCCTTTCGGCCCTCCATAATTTACTGTTGTTGTGTTGCTAATCTTTGAAGCTCTCTAACTCCATTGAACCAAGAAGTGATTGTGGATCACGCAAATCACTTGCATCGCTTCAAGACCTCATAGAATAACTTCCACGTCCAATGCCCTCAAATGTTGGCCAAAAGGTTTCAGCTTTTCAACATATAGACAAGGCAGAATTCCTTTTTCACAACCAGTATTAATAGAATGACCCCCTACAAGACTATTCTTGTCCTCTATGGCAGGTAGACAGCCTAAACTTAAAGTATTGCTAACCCCAACACTTTGTTGTTGAAAAAGCTCCTTCACTCCTTGTAAATCACCATCAAGGTCAACACACACTTCCTGAATTCTTAAACCATCTGGAAGTAGACCTTCATCATCTTCATAATTAATCTTGCCTTTTCTGGAATCTTCGAAGCCTAAACAAACAGTTTTTTCAGCCTCAGCACTTTTTTGTTGAAAAATCTCCTTCACTCCCTATAAGTTACCATCAATGTCAAAACACCCTGTCTGAACATTCTGTCAATCATATTCTGCAATTAATTCATCTATCTAGACCTTCTTCATCTCCATAAAAGGAATCAAAATCATCTTGATCACACAAAACTTCTACCATAATATATTAAAAAATATACAATGCAAAGGATTTGAAAGAGAAACAATTCCAAGGTTCAGTAACTTCCATTTCCAGAAACTTAGATTGTATCTTAATTCTTCACCAACAGACAAGCAACAAGAGACACAAGACTGATAATCACCAGCTTTTAAGATAATAAATTGTACATCAACAGTTGAAAGATGAATAGAGAGATGAACAAGTTACAAAAAAAGGACAAGAAAAACATTCAAATCACATCATCAATAGTTTCAAGCCTTTCAGATTATTAAAATCAACAATATTATGTCACCTGATTAATATCATCAATATCTCCATAAATTCAAGTCAAAGTTAGAGATATCACATTAAAAATAAATTATAGAAAATAAAAGGCACCTAAATACAATAAATTAGAGCAAAAGGCACCAGGTGATTATTTTCCACAGCATTCGTAAATTCCCACCAAAACTCATCATTTCTCATAACTTCACAATTCTCGATAAATTGGAATCAAATGGTCAAAAGAATTAGAGAACATTACATACCGCAATTCTTCTGGTTTGTCTCTGTTGGTGGTGTTTTCATGCTTACACCACATTCACTTGGGAGTGACAGCGACTCTCTGTATGCATAGCTGCCATGAGCGGATAATAAATAATAATCATAAGAATATCTGCCATTTAATTGAAATCAAAATCGCGTCCAGAGGCGATGACGAAGAAGGAACGGTTTCTAATAATTTGTGGTCAAAAGAATCCTAAGAACATTACATACCTTAAACAGTTGAAATCAAAATCAAAGGAAGGAACGGTTTCTGATTCGGACCGGAGACGTAGACGACGAGCAGAGATGAGGCGAGAGCGAGAGCGAGAGGCGACGGAGAAGATGAAGAAGAAAAGGAGTAGCAGCGCCGTCCAGCGTGAAGACAGAACATAGGCTTCTAATCCAATAATTTTTATTAATTTTTTTTTCTTTTATTTTTAAATTGTAATTTTTTTTTTATTTTTACAAAACGTGTTCAAATAAGTTGACCTTGTGTCGGATTCGGTCAAAATCGTGTGTCCCTCTAATCAACGTGTCTTAAAAAATTAACCGTGTGTCGAACACGTGTCAATGTCCGCCACGCTTTTTTCCCGAAAAAGGTTGCGTCTGTGCTTCAGATGACTTCTTACCCACTACTTGCTAACATGTATCCCTTAGCTTGTATGATTTTAAATTTATCAGTTAAATTTATGGATTCACTTTTCTATCATTAAAGTAAATAATTTATCTATATTAAATAAATGACATTATTTTGAGTCAGAAATTAAGATATTTTTATAATTATAATTTATTTTAAGATTATAATAATTTTTTTATTATAATTTTTTAATTTTTCAATACAAAATAATTGAAACGAATGTAGATAATGTATCTACATTTAATATAAAACATTAGGGTTTAAACATTCAATATAGAAACCTAAACCCTAAACATTACAGCCTAAATATATTATAGTTACAATATGTGTTGTTTAATTACGATAAAAATATTCTCATTATATAAAATTTAAAAAATGTCTTTAATATGTAAAATACTAAATTATAAATTAAATATAAAACATCACTAATTAAATAAAAAAATGGTGCGAGAAAAAAATGCAAGTAAAAAAAATAAATTACACGCTTCAAAATTAGATATCAATTTATATACTATGCAGCGAGAAGGGGTTGATCCAGTTCGCCATGAGGAGCCAGAAAACGGTGGCGTTTTAGAAAATGGTACCATTGACCTACTGGCACCAGTAAAGTCACCAAGAAGAAGATGCAGAATACCAGGGGGAGGATCCCTCCAAAAGTGATACGTAATGTAATCATCCGTATCCAACATGTTATTCGCCAACCAATCTGCACAGACATTTCCTTCCCTATAAGAATGCATCAGAGTAACTGACCAGCTTCTGTTGATCCATGTCCGTATACGAGTAATCAGATGACACTCACGGACTATGATGCACGAACACGGACACGGGACACGACACGACACGCCGACACGTTAATTCTAAAAAATGTCATATTTGGAGACGTTGGGACATGTTTTGATATTAAATAAAATTTTTAATATATATAATATGATTTATATTTAATACATATAAGAATTCATAATAAGTCATATAACCAATTAAATATTTAAATTTCATACATAAATATAAATATAAATAATTTTTCGTAGTTTGTTAATTTTTAATGTCAAATTTTATAACAGAAAAAAATTAATTTATAAATTATTTCTTTTATATTTAGTTCACAAAATAAAATTAAGATTAAAAAAAAAAAAAAAAAAAACGTGTCCGAGTGTGTCCCCAAATGTTGATCGCGTGTCCCCAAATATTGACCGCGTGTCGGAACGTGTCGGAGAGTTGACCGCGTGTCCCCAAATTTTGACCGCGTGTCCGAGCGTGTCCGTGTCGGACACGTGTCCGTGTAACGGAGCTCACGGGCTGCTGCACCCGACCTGGTGAGCACAGTGATCACACTAGATGAATCACTCTCAATAATGATATTGTGATAACCGTCATTCCAAGCTAGCTCCAAACTCCGAAGAACACCCTAAAGTTCAGCTTTGAACGAAGAACAATATCCCAATTTATAAGAAAAACCCCCCAGCCACCTACCTTGCGAATTACGTATCAAACCCCCACAAGCAGCTAGACCAGGGTTACCTCTAGCAGTACCATCGATATTAATCTTTACATAGCCAACTCTAGGGAACTGCCAACTGATATCCATCTGCATTGAAATCTTTGCTGGCAATCTATCACGAGCATTGACCGAAGCAATTTGAATATTACTCACTAAGCTACAAATAATACCTTTTCTGACGTTCAAACTAGGAATAGTAGAACCATGCACCAATTCATTTCTCCACTTCCAGTTTCTCCAACAAATAACAAAAAACAAAGTCATCCAACCATTCTCAATCCTATTCCTGTCCATATCAATATTAAACGCTATCCAATGATCAGCATCTCCAAAGAAGAAATTATCGATCTTATCATAAGGCACAAAGTAAGACCAAATTGATTTAGCCTCATGACATTCCCGAATAGCATGTAACAAAGTTTCACCCTCCTCACAGTAAATAGGACAAAAATCACTGCCACTCCCCCACAGAGCAGTCCTACTTCTAGTTAGGAGCTTTTTGTGAAAGACTTTCCACATAAACAACTTTATCCTCTGTGGCCCGCTCCAATCCCACACCCGCTGCCATCTATCAGCAACGATAACAGAAGTTGAATCCTAACCAACAAGCACCTTATAAATTTCCTTCACTGATATAGTGTTCCCACCATCTAGATCCCAATGCTTACTATCAGGACCATCATCTGCAACTGGTGTTAATGTCCCACGAAAAATATCAATAATACTACTCGGAAACCAATGGACTAGAGAATCGAAATTCCATTCTCCATTTGGATTGACCATATCAGCTACACACATATCACAGTTAAAATTTGAAATCGAGTTATGGCTAGCTCGTGAAGAGGCTGATCCAATGAAAGCCAGTTGTCCTTCCAAAAAGAAATAGTCTTACCATCTCCAACCTCCCATCTAAGTCTCCCCTCCATCATCCTCCAAATGCGACACATATTCCTCCACAAAGAAGAGTCACCATTACAAACCACAAAACCATCAGCTCTCCTACTCCTCGATTCAAAACCTGGACCCAAAGGTGATCAGGATTATTAGAAAAACTCCAAACTCTTTTAGCAATCATGGCATCATTCATAACCTCCAACCGTTTAAGACCAAGACCCCCAATATCCTTAGACCTTGTTATGGTACTCCAATTAATAAGATGATTAGCTCTTCTACCATCCTTATCACCCCAAATAAAACTTCTCTGCATTTTCTCAATATCATTACAAACAGACACTGGGATCTTGCAACTTTGCATTTGAAAATAAGGCATTGAAGCCACCACCGACTGAGACAAAGTGATTCTACCAGCCTGCGAAAGAGTTTGTTGATTCCAACCATTCATCTTATCTCTAATTTTGTCGATGATCCCTGCATATAACTCCTTAGAAGCTCTACCATGCTGCATCATAGAACCTAAGTATCTATCCATGTTTCTCACACGCTTGAAGCCACTTTTCTGAGTGATTCTTGAAATGACATCCTCACTAGAGTTTCTGGAAAAATAAATACTTGTTTTATCAACACTAAGCTTCTGACTAGAAACTTCCTCTAATAAGTGAAGGCATTTCAATAAGAGGTCAATTTGCTCTTCCTTAGCCTCCATAAAGATCATCAGATCATCTGCAAATGCAATATGAGATATTCGAGGTCCACCATTACCAACCCGAATCGATTTCCAAAGACCACCCAGCACAGCCGTATTAATAATGAGTTAACTTTTCCAATGCAATAACAAAGAGATATGGAGATAGAGGATCACCCTGCCGAATACCTCGAGAAGGGCTAAAATTCTCAGTTTTCCCACCATTCCACAAGACTTTGATCTTGGTTGTTTGAACACACTGCATAATTAGGTTAATGAACGACATGGGAAATTGAATCTCCTCCAAAGTCTTACGTAAAAATTTCCAAGAAACCCTATCATAAGCTTTAACTAAATCTATCTTCACCTCCATAAAAGCTTTTCTGCCTTTCATTTTATGCATTGAATGGATCAGCTCCTGGACAATCACAATATTGTCTTGTATTTGTCTTCCCGGGACAAAACTAACCTGAGATGGAGATATTAGCTTATCCATAACTGGTTTCAACCGATGAACAATAACCCTAGACAGAATCTTATATAAAACTGGGCAAAGAGAAATTGGCCTGAACTGAGAGATACATTCTGGCCTCTTAACTTTAGGGATCAGAACCAAAAGGGTGTTATTAAGCTCCTCTACCCGATTAGGGTTTAACCACAAATCATTGGCAGCTTTATAAACCTGTCCCTTCACATTGCTCCATTGTCTTTGGAAAAAAATTACAGGGAAGCCATCTAATCCCGGAGCCTTAAAAGCATTCATGCCATTCAATAACCTAGTGACCTCAGCCATACTAGGAACTTTGATTATATCTTCCTTAAGTTCACTAGTTGAAGACGTCCAGGAATTCGCAGACGAAAGCCATCTATGATCTTCAATTTCTTCTGTAAACAGATTTTTATAAGAACTGCAATCATTCTCCTTTAACTCATCAGCATTTTCAATCCATTGATTATTCTCGTTTCGCAGCCTGGAGATTTTATTACTGCTTCTTCTGATAACAGTCTTCAAATGGTAGAACTTCGTATTTTTATCTACATCAACAATCCAATTATGCATAGATTTTTGAAACCACAGCATTTCTTCCTCCTCAAGCACTCGGTCAAGACTGTTCTGCAAGCTATTCTCCAACTCTTGAAGGTTCAGGCTATCCGCGTAAGATCTCTTTAATTGGACTGAAGCAATGTCTTTAACTAAAATATTCTTCCTCCTGCCTATATTCACATACACCTCCTTGTTCCACTTTTTAAGATGCGGGACGAAACCATTGATCATCTGATTAAAATCAATCGTTTTATCCCACTTATCCTGCATCAGATCATTAAAATTGGGATGATCTAACCAAGAGGCAATAAACCTAAATGGTCTATCTTGCCAATTTCTGATTGCAGCAGCTCTTCTTATTCCTTTCCTTGCTCCTCAGCTATAATCCAATCAAGAGTTGAAATTCTGGAGCATTTTTCGGTATTGTCTTCACTAAACTTTATTGCCTTCATGACGTTAAACTTCACCTCCTCTCCATTAACATTCATGGAGAGTTCTCATTTTTTGACATTTATCACTGCATCACCAGTAGCCAAGAACGGTCTACCAAGAATTATGGGAACTTCTTGGACAGCTTCAAAGTCGAAGATGATGAAATCAGCAGGCAAGATGAATTTGTCCACTTGAACTAAGACATTTTCTATTTTGCCCTTTGGTCTGACTATGGATCGATCTGCAAGTTGCAAAGTAATTGTAGTGGACCATGCTGCTTGAATATTGAGGCCAGCATCAAGTTCACACTCTAGCCTACATCACATAGTGCTCTTATAAGATAATTCTTCCTAATGGTGCATGGGATTGTGAACACTCCAGGATCTTTCAACTTAGGTGGAATTTTTGTGAGATATTTGCACGATCTTCAGTTAGAGCTATAGTTTCAAATTCCTCAATTTTTCTTTTCTTTGACAGAACGTCCTTCATAAATTTTGCATATGAAGGCATTTGCTCCAGGGCTTCAACCAATGGTACATTTATGTGAAGCTATTTCATTAAGTCCAAAAATTTGCTGAATTGCTTATCTTCATGTTGTTTCTTTAACCTCTGTGGGAAAGGAGGTTTGATTGGCTCGCTCCTCCTTTTAGATGGTGGAATATAAGATGGTACAACCGTTGGTTTATCAACATCTTGTGTCTCTAATGCATCTTTGGAAGTAATTGCAACAGGTGTTGCTTTCCCACTTTCACTTTTTTGTGATTCATCTTTTTGTTATGCTGATGAATCTGTTGGTTCCATCTGGTCCTCTTCCTTGTCGTTCTTATCAGGGATCTCATCAGCTTTGGTGGTTGGAGGTACTTGCTCATCTTGAGCTTCAGCTTCATGTTTTTCCTCAGGTTGCTTTTCTATTTTACACTTATGGGAATGGACCAAAGGCTCAAGTGGTAGAAGGATCTTCCCATCCTGCAAGTTTATGGCATTGCACTGCTCCTTAGTGTCCTGGAAAGGTTTTTCTGTATCTCTGGGGAGCGCTCCTTGCAGTCTTTGGCTAAGAACATTGGCCAGTTGACCAACCTGTGTCTCGATTTTTCTTATAGAAGCATTATTTTGATTCATGTATTCCTTGGACATGGTCTTTAGGGGCTGAACTCTACCTTCACTTCTATCCCAGTTTTGGTTATTTTGTCATGGGAATGAGGCTCTATTTTGATAGTTCCCTCCACTGCTTCCAGCATTGTTCTGGTTCTTCCAACCTTGGTTGTTATGTCCCTGATACTGGTTATTGCTTTTGTTGTTGTTGTTGTTGTCGTAACCACCTGTATAACATACAGTAGCTAAATCATTACCGTATTCACCAGACTTATGGGGTCTATTACAAATAGAACATTTTAACTGGTTTGGCTCAAGTAAAGTTGTTCAGGTGAGTTGGATGGTTTAGATTGCTCCATGAGTTTCTAGTTTTTTATGGTGTTGTTGAGCAAATCCAACTCTGCAGAGAAGACATCAGCTGTATCCAACACCATAATTCCTGTTTTCTTGAGAGCATTTCTTCGCTCCGAGGGCCATTAAATATGTTTCTTTGATAGTTTTTCCAGTAAACGGATTGTTTCATCATAAGTGAAATCCAAGAGATCTCCACCGCAACTGCATCAACAGTGGCCTTTAATTGAGGTGTCAACCCATGATAGAAAGTTTGAATAAACTCCCAATCTGAAACTCCATGGTTAGGGCATATTCACAACAACTCCTTATATCGCTCCCAAGCTTCATGTAAACTTTCTCCATCAAACATATGAAAAGATGCTATGTCTGCTCTTACTTGGGCTTGCTTCACATGAGGAAAGAATCGAGCTACAAATTGCTCTGTGAGTTACTCCCAGGTCGTAATTGAATTAGGGGGTAAAGTCCTTGACCATTCCTTAGCTTTTCCTGCTACGAAAAATGGAAATAGCCTCATTCACATGTTTTCTTCTAGAATGCCCTGAACTCTGAAATTATCAACCATTTCAGTGAAATTGTCCAGATGACTATGTGGGTCTTCCATGGGCAATCCATGAAATTGACCGACATTCATAATCATCTGGAACATTGCTGGTTTTATTTCAAAGTTAGGGACATTAAGAGGTGGAGGAATATAATCTCTGTTTGGACCATTCCTGAAGGGAGCAGCCATATCATTCAAGGATGGCCCTCTTTCTTCATTCGGTCCTTCTCCATTTACATTATTCCCATTATTACCGTTGTCACCATTGTTTATAACTTCTACCATTGTATTATATCTTAATCTTTGAATTCTTCTTCTGTTCCTAAAAGTTCTTTCAGGTTCTAGGTCAAATAGTATTATCTCTAGTCCAAAGTCCTTAAGTTTTGTGTCCATACAATGGTAGGAAAACGGGAGCAATGAGACATAGCATAAGATTAAATTAAACAAATACGAAAAGTGCTTCCCTTAAAAATGCCTACTTTTGCCAAATGATCTCCGACAATGGCGCCAATTGCTTGTTCGGGCCGAGATGTGCTCTAGGATAATATAAGAGCAAAAGATAATAAGGAGAAAAAATTAATACGAGGAGAAATTAATCAAAAGAGGAGCAACTTTTCCCGAGAAACGCAAGCGCACGCGTCAAGCAATACATGGTTTTCAAAGAGCCCCAGATTATCGTCCTCAGGGAACAATTGTAAAAGTTTGCGTCCAAAAAGAAGAAACAACAAAAATAAATAAACGAAAATGAAAGAATAATGGTTCTTGGTTAGAAATCACCAAAGAGCATTTTCTACTAGCTAGTTAAACAATGTTAACCAATCTAAGTAGCTGAATGTTAGGTATCCTTCTTAACCATTACTGAACAGTAAGAATAGAGCATTAAATGGAAACAGTCATTATGAGAGCAATAAAACAAAGTTTATCAAAATTCGTAACTAGGAAGTACTAATATCAATTGTATCTTTTGGTTTTTAATTTTTTTGTTATTAGGAGAATTGAAACAAAGATTAAGGAAGTAGGTTTTCAAGATCAGTCTTTTCACCCTCTTGGTTAAACCTGCAGCGTTGCACGTTTCCTTAGCTAAACTATGCTCCCATCACCATTACGGTTTGTCAAAAATAACCTGAAGCAAAGGCTTGTTGCTACACGTTACTTTTGAGGTTATAGAGTTGAAACTCAGCGAGATCATGTCTGCCTTCTCAGAAGAGCATAGCTGAAGGGATCACTAGCAAAAGTGATTTACACATAACAGTGCTCCCCTTTCTGGATATTTCGCTGGCTCACAATAAAATACCCTATGATTTCTAATCTTACTCCGCACTGCTTTGTGAGGGTTTAATCGACCAAGTGGTCCTAGGATGAGTTGTAAACCAAAGGGTATTGCAAAATCAGAACAGTAAACCAAGGAACATCTCATAATTCATTAAAAGAGATGTGGTTCCATAACAAATTTATCCAAAGACAAAATGGGCTACTTCTACCTCATTCTTGACCTACTAAAGAAAGTTAGCTCATAAGGAGCATAACTAAAATTGCTGCAAAAATAAAAGAATCTGTAAAAATATCCTAAGACTCTAGGTTGAAGATGACCCCTGATTTGATATTCCTTTCTTTTTATATCAGGCTCTCATCTTCAATCTCAACTGCTCCTTAAATCCATGGTCCAGCTTTCTTTAAATCCTCTCCAATCATAGCATTGCTCCTTGCCATCTCAGCCCCATTGCAGATGTGGTCCCCCTTCTTCTTTTCATTCTTTTCGTACGATATCTGCACAGTGAGGGTGCTACCTCCACATTCCCTGCTGACGCTGACGTAGATGCATTCTACTAGTTGCTTTTCTGGCTCTTGTATTGTAGTACACTTGTTTATCCCCTTTCAGTGCTACAATCTCTCTATTCTTCCAAGTTTCTCGTTAACTGAGTTGGGTTTCATTTGGTTGGGCTTTAGGTTTCCTGCAAGAGCAATCTGATCCATTAAACACAAAGAATAAGATTAAATCAAATTGCTCCAGTACTACTCTAATTCCCAAAGTGCGTATTGCTCCAGCCCAATCTAACAAGTATTTGCTCCTAGGAGAAATAATAGAAGAAAAGTGAAGCTTAAATATTAAAAATTTGGATTAAAGGAGCATCTAAACCATCAATGGACCTCTACTTTTGAGGGCCATCAACGCTTCTTTTACAATTTATCCCTAAATCTGGGGCTCATAAAAACCATATATTGCTTGACGTGTGTGTGCTTGCATAATGTGAGAAGATTTGCTCCTCGGATATACACTTGCTCCCGAACATAACATTTGCTCCTCTGAACATAACATTTACTCCAAGCACATCTCGGCCCACCAAGCAGTTAGAAAAATGTAAAACTCTCAAGAATATAATATGATTTTGTTTAATTGGAAATAATAGTCTCGTGTTGCATAAGAGAGTTATCTTATGTTATACACCTATAGAATTTTGTGTCAAATTTTTCTTTTCTTTTTAAATTCTGGACCCCACGTATTTGTATCACCCACATGAGAATACTATCTCATGTAACATGAAATTAGTAAACCCCTTATTTAATATTCATCGTTTGAGTTATGGTAAATGCAAATGAAAAGTACGCGAGGACTTGAAGAATAACTGACGCATTTTGAGCATAAGAGAATACATGAAACATGATTCATGACACAAGGGTGTAATTGCTCGGAAACTGTAACTTCTGAAAGAATCAAAAGCATGGACTTTTGAATCAATTAATAGTCCTATTTCATTTTTTGTGCTATTTTGTTTTATTGTTAATGTTTGTACAATATATGACACTTCTTGAATACTTTTAGCTAGTGAGGTTGGGTAATGATACTCTTTTTGCTTCTTTCTTCTCTTTTTTGCTTTTTTTCTTCTTTTGATGTTGAATTGAATCTCTATTGATATGGAAGCAAGTGGCTTCTCTTTACTAGGGGACCACTCCATAGTCTTGGCATATCAAGAATGTAGGACCTTGAGATGTGGCAGTAAATGAGGTATTAATTCATGCAATAATTTCCCAGGGTCGCTGTTTAAGTGGCTGTTGGCTTGTCCACATTTTTGGCTTCATCAGCACAGAAAATTCAGTCTTAAGAAAAAATAGAAATGAAAAAACAGAATAGAAAAAAGAAAAAGAGAGTGAGATAGGGGAACACCACTCCTCTTATCTCTTTGAAGATGAGGTGAATCTGTCGTTTGGATTTCTTGAGCAATTTCGGCCCTTCACTTTAGATATGTGTGGATAACACCAAAGAGGTACTCATTTGTTTGCTCTCATAACTCTATATAAAAGCCCCTCAAAATATCTTTACTCTCATGTACTTTTTTCCTTTTGTTTGCTTTCCTTCTATTCCTTTCTTTATTCTCTTTGTTTTGTCCTCAGCTACCTATAGAAGCAAAATGCATCACAGTCATCAATACCCCCTTCCTTGTTTGTATTGCCACCCACATAGCTATATTAGGATGGTAATCTATCTTGTTTCCTTCTATTATATATATTTGGACACTTAGTTTACTTTAAAGATTATTATATGAGTGTTGCCTTTTTTAAATATTATAAGTTCCAAACTTTCATGCATGCAGGTTCAAAATCTCATAGAGAGATGCTTGCTATTTCACATGAGTCAAGAGCAATGCATAAAAGCACTAGCAGAACATGCAGGGATTAAACCACTTGTTACACATACAGGTCCTGATCCTTTCATCACTCTGAGTTTGTGTATATATGTGCTCTTGAAAACCCTGACTTGAAGACAAACGAAAGATAGCATATATACTGTAAAATCTATGTGAATTTTTGTATTCCTTGTGCAGTGTGGAAAGAGTTACAAAAGGAGAATAAGGAGTTCTTCGGAGCATATTTGCAAGTTATCACTCCCAGGCCATTCATGAGTAAGAGATCTAAGCTTTCATATCTTTTTTGATCGAGGATCAGCTACGTTTGAACTTAATAAAGATTTATATGTAGGCCATAACTACAGTTTATGACCATTAGTCTTTGTATAATAAGACTTTTATGATATGCATGCAATGGAGTTTTGAATAACACCAATTATTATCCAAAATGAAAACCCCTTATCATAGATAAGTTATCAGCGGCATAATGATAACAGTTCTTATTTAACTTTTCAGGTAGATATTTTCAAAGGAGACCAAGATTAGCAAGAAGGAAATAATAGAAACAATGAACTCATGAGTGGTCACCGAATAATCCCACAAGGGAAAAGTAAGCTGGATGAACTCTTTCAGCATTTAGTTAAAGATGGACCAGGGATTAATGCTGGGTTTAATATTAATGATTATTAGTTATAACAAAAAAGTTGTTTGCTTTATTTGGTTTGTATCTCCCAAAGAATTTGTGGGTTAACAACCTGCTCCATAGCGCATGTAATGGACGACCAGTATATATAGTACTTTAATGCTTGCTGCGATTTTCAGAAGTAAAATAACTTTTGGCCCCGGTGCAACAAAAATAGTGGAAGTCTTTTTTTTTTTGGTATGCTAAAATAGTGGAAGTCTTTATCTACTCATGCGTAAAAAAATTTAGTTCAGGTTTTCTAGTTTTTTTTTTTTTAAATATTCTAATTGATTCATCATTTTGTGACTAATTCGATTCGGGACGGCTCCTGATATTAAGACTTTAAACCCTTTCCAATAAGAGTACCGGAAAGGTTTGAACACATATTCTCATATCCATCTGCTCAATTTCTTAGCATCAACTGAGTTACCATCATTTATATTTTTTTAACATCCTTATTTTTTTTTTCCCGATGCAACAAAAATAATTAAAGTCTTTATCTACTTAAGTAGAAAAATAGTTTTCTACAAAAGTAACATGCCCTGCAGCCTCCTGACCCAAGATCCGAGGAAACAGTGGATTTTGGGCCTAAAATTGAAAACCTACAAGGCACGAATGTAGGCCTCAGGAACTTTAACAAGCCAACCATATCAATTTTTATTTTATTTTTTTAGAAAATTTCATTTTCACTCATTGTGATTTTGAAATTTATCATTTGACTTTCCGTGATTTTAAATTTATCATTTAGACTCATTGTGCTAAAATAATTTATCATTTAACCCCCTATGATTTCAAATTTTTACTTAGATTCCTTGTAGTTACAAATTTTTTTACTTAAACCCCTTGTGGTTTAAAATTAAACATTTTAAAAACATATTTAAAATAAATTTTCTCTTTTTTATTTTATTTTATATCCTCATATAATGCATTTAGGGTTTGAAAAATATTTTAAGTTATTTATTCTGAAATTAATTTATAAATTATCTTAATTTTTTTATTTTAAAAATATATTTGAAATTAAAAAATTATTTAAGATGAAATTAAAAAAATATTATTTATGATAAATTAAATATGTATTATCAAAATAAGATATTTACTTTCTTTAAATAGATAAAATAAAAATATTTGATTTGAATTTATATTCTTGATAAAAATAAGTGAATTTTTTTAGAATTTATTTTTATTTTTTAAACCTTAAATGCATTAGGTGATGATATAAAATAAAAAAGACTTATTCATTTTTTAAAGTTTTTATTTTTGTAACAAGGGGTCTAAGTGAAAATATTTTTAACCACAAGAAGTCTAAGTGAAAATTTGAAACCAAGGGGGATTAAATAATAAATTATTTAAGCACAATGGATCTAAGTGATAAGTTTAAAACCACGGAGGGTCAAATGATAAATCACAAAATCACAATGGGTAAAAATGAAAATTTTCCTTTTTTTTAGAAAATTTTGGAAAAAGTACTCTTGGGTTCTGACAAAAACAGTAAACTGCTAACTGGAAAAAGAAAAAGAAAAGAAAATAAACATGTTACATGTTACCTTGCAATCCCACTAGTAAACATCAGTACGGCAAAGAGAGTTGTAGAGGATCCTCAAACACAATTCATCATTCTCGGGTGGTGCTACCATGGTAGTTAAAATCAGGATTCTACCTAAAATCGGAAGGAGGATAAAAAATCGTAAATCGTAAAATTCTAACGTAAAAAAAATCGTAAAAGCGTTTGAAATTTTGATGAAATCATTATGATTAAAAAAAATCGTAAAATCATAAAATCACTGATATAAATCGGGATTTTAACTACCATGGTGCTACCTCTAGTCCTCTACTTCTTCTATCACTAGTGGCTTCCCTGCCTCCCATGCCAATTTTACACCAAACAATTTTGTAGAAAACAATTTCTAGTTAAATATCTTTATATTTATTTTTCATTAAGTTTATTAAGTAACTCATATTTTTGTTTAAGTTTTTTTTATAAGTAACTCAATTAATGAAAAATTAAGTGACCTCTGCGCTTGTAGAAATATATGTAGAAATGTGGTAAATGGGAAGGAGTTTTTTCTCCTTAATCAGAGGTCTTGAGATTGAGCCCTAAAAATGAAAAAATAGTCTTACAAGAGTTGCCCTCTATAATGTATTCAACAATATTTAAACTGAATTAGTCGAGTAATCGATGAATCGGTGAAAAATGTGAAAATGTAACCATAATGGGTTGAGACGTATATGAAAGAAAGGCGAGTAGAATGAGATATAAACATTTTGCACAACAAATAATCAAAAATTAATTCATATGTCAAAACTATGTACCGAAGACTTAAATCAAATTTATGATGAAGACATTTCCTGGGAAGTAGTGGCGGAGCTAGCGTAACAACTCAGCCCGGGCAAAAAAAGTTTAGTTCGTACCACGTTTATTTAGCCACACTAAAACATGGCTAATGTTTTGAAAATAAGCCTGCAAACTAGCCACGTTTTTTTAGCCACATTGAAACTGTGGCTAATTTTCAAAATTTAGTCTGGGCCAAGGCCCCCCTGCCCCAACATGGCTCCATCAATGCTGGGAAGAAGAATCAAGTCCTTTTAATGAGATTAATTTTGTAAGGGTTTGACGTTTGTCCTTTTAAAAAATATTGAATTGTGTCTTTTTAAGTGAGAGAAAGAGATACATAATGAAAATTAGGGGGGGAGAAAGTTTACGATTTTTTTATTTAAATTTTAAATAAAAAATTACTAGTTTGAACTAAAATGACCATCTTTTAAAAGGACAGATATTCTTTCCATTTTTTAATAAAGGGTTAATTTTTTCTATATTCAATGTAGCTAAATTATCTATATTGAGCCCAAAATGATATTGTTTTGGGCAGAAATCAAAGTATTTTTGTAATTATAATTTATTTCAGGGTTATAATAGTTCTTCTCAATATAATTTTTGTAATTATAATTTTTTGAAATCCATGTAGGTTAATTTTTCATGATTGATTCTTCATCACAAACTCCTCGTAATCAAACTTTTTTAAAGGACTTAAGCCTAAATCAAACCACAGCTCAAGTTGGTTACTATTCACCCGACATAAAATTCAAATAATCAAAATCACCCATGAAAGTTTGTGTTTCTTACCTCTAAATCACCAAGGATACTTGGGAAATGATTCTTCAAACTTTCATGGACTCAAACTCCTCCAAAATCACAAAACCCTTGAAATTCTTGTAACTATAAATGGGTAATATCTCACTCCATAGTACTTCGCACACGAAAATAAGAGGGGGGAGGGGGGTTCATAGAGGGTGAGATTCTAAGCAAGTTTGGCTTTCAAATCACTCAATTTCGTTAATTATAGCTCAAGATATACTGGTTTAAAGTTTTTTTTGTTTTCAAGTTCATTTCCATGGAGGTAGGAAGGGGACTGCAAGGTTTTGTTGCCCAAGGTGGGAGGGAGAAGAGAAAAAAGTGAGGGAAAATTAGCCTAGGTGTCATGACTTAAGTGGGGTTTGACTTGTCAACTCACTTAATTAGGAAGTTACCATTTTACCCTTAATAAACCATACTAATCCATGATTTAAACATCTAACATTTATTTTAACATTCACCAAAATTATTTAATGATATATTATTACAGTATTTTAAAGTTTTGGGTAACTTTCGCACAATTGCATTTTTACTCGGATCTTTCTTTAACCGTACTTTTATTGTAAGAAGTAACTATATTTGAATAATTATATTTTTCATCTAATTTTCCTCATTCTAATTCAATTCTATAATTTTATGGGTTTAGGAAGGGTGTATTTTATAGAATTAGCTCAAAACTGGACAGTTTTTGCCAAATTACCACTTTGCCCGTAGTGGAGATTTTATCCAAAATTCAGGATTTTAACTCAATTAATCCTCTAATTAGACTTTCATTTCTAATTAATGTAATTTGATTATTTGGGTTATTATATTCTCTCCTTATATTTCAGAGAAATGATATAATTTCTTTCACATAATTAAAATCTTCTTTGATTTTGCCTGTGATTTTTTGACATTAGAGTTTTTCTCATAAATCTTATGTGTTACTTCAATTGACATATTTGTTGATCTCTTGGCCAGTGAAATCAATATAAATTTAATTATACCGTTTCTAGGGAAGTGGTTTATAGGCATGGCCTTAAATTCAATGGTTATATAATTAGTCATTGTTGCTTAGTACAGAGAGACTCTCACTGAATTTATACTTATGTAGCCAATTGATGTGGTTAATAATGTCTTGAAATTCTTGTTTCTCCCGACTCTATTTCACTATATGATACTCTGCTACCTAACCTAGCAAGAGAAGTTTTGTATGCAAATTGAATGAATTAAAGACGTCCACTGACTAAGCTCTAGAACAGTGGTGGTGGTGGTGGTGGCGGTGGTGGAAGGGAGGCAATCAAGGATTGTCTTGTATTGGAAACATAAGGTAGTTTGTTAAAAGAGTTTTGATATCCCAAAAATGCATGATTTAGTGTGGAGTAAGGTAATGTAACACCCGTATATATCCGGTAATGTTATCATAATATCGTATTAAGCTGCGCTTAATTAAAATGCGGAATTACTTTTTCTTTTCAATTATGATGCCATTAACATTACCAACTTGCTTAATAATCAATTAATAAAACATCGCTTGTATGTAATTGCAATAAAACAGCTAACTGAAATACCTCATAACATGGATAATATAAGTGTGGCTCTAGTCACGGAACTACAACAATGCAGACCGGACCATCTAACAGTTTATACAACTCCAATCTAAAAGTACTAACAAAAGTGTCATGGACAATCCCCATGCTCACTCAAATAAGGCAACATGCCCAACATCAGTCTCACCAACAATATATCATAAATAGCGGAAAACACAAACAGCATCTCAAATCCAGTCATGTTAACATAAAGCAGTAAAACATAATCAGCTAAGCTCCGGCCTCCTGCCGCCTGAGGCATCAGTACCCATACTACCTGATCCTGAAATAAGCATTCCCCAAACGTGGGGTAAGATCTCTAATCTAGAAATCTCAGTAAGTCAGTGAGTCCTCAAGGATCTTCCACCCCAAGCTCACTTACATGTGCAATATAAGTTCAAAAACAGTTTATCATTTATCATTTCTAAAACAATGCAATGCAGCAGATAAT